CTGGTGTTAATGATTTAGTTTAATCTGATAGAGTTCAGCCATTTATGACAGTAGAGCTTGGGGGAAAGTACATTATTTTGCCTGTGTTAAAATGCTACCTAGGCAGGTAGGTAATAGAGACTGGAGGTAATACCACAGAACACTAATAAAATGTTCTGTTGCTTGCTCCAGTTGTCAGGACTTGGGATTTTGGATTGTGAGTGATATTGTTCTATGTGCAATTTCAGGCAATACTTTTTTTTTTATTATTTCTTCTTGGAACATCTTCCATATGGTAGAATATTTAAAGTGTATTTTAAAATAGTGGCTGGCAATCTGCGAAATACCATTTTAGCATGAATGAGGTCATGTGCTACCAAAATACTACTTATACTAGGAACTGGAGATGAATTGAAAGTAGCACAGCTAAAAAAGTGAAGGCAACAGGTGTTTTATTAGATTGCAGGTATTGGCTTTTTTTAACATCTGTAGAATAACTGATACTTCATCCTAAAACTTGCTGCAAATTTGTATGTTTCCACTACTGAATATCAGTTACTCCCAGTATTCTTAATTTAGGATATGTTCCCTTAAGGTGTTTTTGGCTAATAAAACATGATATCCTCTTCTAGCACATCACCAGTTTCATAATGTGATGCAGGATTAAAAGAATTTTGCTTGAAGACCAGGCATCTGATGACTAAGAGTATACTGAAAAGGAAACAGGGCAGGCTATGCTCCTGAAAAAAAAAAGAAAAAAAACAAACCCTGGAGATACCAGCATTCTGCAATTTTCACAGACATGACTATAAGGTGTATGTGCAACCTGTCAGAAAGAAGTATTTTTTGCGTTGCAAGAAATGGGAGAGTAATTTGGTGTACATATTTTAATCACCTATTTAGTAAGTAAGAGAAGCAGGACTTATCTCTACCCAAAATTGATGATGGCTTTGACTATTATTTGAGCAAGTCAAGGAAGCGAAACATCTCGAACTTTAATTTCCCCATTGATTAAAACTGAGATCTTCCCTAGTGTATTCTTAGTAATTTAAACAACCTTTTAAAATGTGCTGTTTAAATCCATGTTGTTGGGAGTTTTAGCACAATCACCCCAATAATAAATAGATGCTAGAACAATTACAGTCAAATCATTCATCCTGATGCTTCAAATTTGATGTTCTGGATGCAGAATGCTGTAATATTCTCACATTTTAAAAGTATGCCACCTCCCATAAAGTAGTAGTTTCAGGTGGCTAATCATTGCATAAACCATGGGACTGATATTTAAATGCAAATCAGGGGCCTTTTTTTGGTGCAGTTTTGGATCTTAGCCCATGAGTCACAGTTTTCAGAAGCAGCAAACTCCATAGAAGAGTGCAACTGTGTCAGTTCTGGGCTCTTCAGTACAAGAAAGACAAGGAGCTACTGGAAATGGTCCAGCAGAGATCACAAAGATGATGAGGGGTCTGGAGCCTCAGGAGATACCTAACTAATGGTGTAGCTATCTGATACCCTCCCCGGTCATTGCTGGGGGAAAGGCAATGTGGATAGGATATTTTTGCAGTTTAGTAATTTTGAAGTATAAAAAAGGTCTTTTGAGGCTACAAAGGCAACTGCTGGCTTCCAGAGTTTTGCCCTGATGAGATCAATCCTGGACTAGGGCCAGAAGGTGAGAGGGTAAGGAAGGACTTCAGACTGTCTTTATTTGTCCTGCAACCCCTCTATATCTCAGCTGAGCCAAGAGAATCTAGGAATGTTTCTACACAGATGTGGGTTAGATAAACTCTTTCCATTCGGAATTTCAAGATATGAAATACATTTTGAGCTACAAAAGAAGGAGAACCCCCTTTTCAAGCACAAAACAATGAAGACATTCTGTATAACCATTCTGTAATTGTTCTCCGTTTTTCTCCATTTGTTCTAATGACATTGGTAACAATCAATCAAAGTCATGTAGGCAGTACAAGTGTGTGACAGAGTACTTGTGCAAGACAGGGATTAAACCTTTATTTTCTGGCAATAGGAAATAAAAGTTTAGGCTGAAGAAATTAATCTAGTGTGATATTTCAAGGTTTATCTGTTAATTGCTTGCCAGTGGTTTCAAAACTGAAAACAAGCTATCCAAAAATCACACCAGGAAATCCTCTGAGTTCAGTCAAATCTCTGATTGAGTCAGCTTCAGTTATCACTGCCATCACCAGTTAATCTATAAATACATCTGCTTTTACAGCCTACGCATTCTGAGATTTGCCCATTGCCTCCTCAGAAGAGCAGGGCTAGAGTCTGCTATTAAACAAGCCTGGCTTGGCAAAAGCCAACAAGAACCTAGCCCGAGAGGCCAAGCCCATCCGTTGTTGTCAGCTTTGATAGTCGCTGCTATCATTTGAAAGTGCACTTGCAGCCAGTCCAAGTTGGTAGTGTCAGCCCAAGCTGATTGGAGCTGCAGACATTTTTGCTGACTGGAGTCATGCTATCTTTGCCAGTTTGCTGGAATAGACACAGACACTGATTGGGTCATGCTGAAAACATTCCTGTCCTATGAAGCAAGTCTGTTTGTATTTCAGGTTTGCCAGGACTAATGAATTAAAAATCTTGGGCTCGCCACAGTTTGCTGCTTAATAATGCCTGTGACAGAAGGATTTTTTCCTCCCTGAAGCGTGACAGCATCATAATCCCTTGTCACTGGCAAGGAGAGGAAGGAAAAGCAGAATTGTGGAGAAAAGCGGAAAAGGGTGATCTTTTGGGACAGCAAAGCCTATGGGAAGTGCAGGTAGCAGCATGTTGCCCTGACAGCTGTCTCAGCTTCTCAGACCTTGTCAGTTCGTTGCTATGCAGCAGGTGCAGCCTTTTCTTTTATTGAAGCTTTACTCCATAAAGGCAACGACAAGCCAAGGCAGTGGCTGGCCCTGGATTATACAAGTGCAGACACTCCGCTAAGTGAGGTAAGGCAACAGGTGTGAAAAAATTCGGTAGAGCTGTTACAGCATTTAATCTGAGTTCTGCTGCAGATTTTTTTTTTTACAGAGGAACAGCAGCCAGCTCTCCAGGCAATTGTTGGGAAGAAAAGAGCTGCTCGTTAAATCTCATTAAATTCCAGGTTGCCCACTCACCCTCATCTCTGTCTACAGCGATATTGTTCGTCACGCATGGAGGAAGCAGGTGGGGAACTGGGGGCAGCCGATCTGAAAGTTTCCTGGTATCACCTTGTTTGCACACAGGCTTCTTCCATCCCTCTCTGTGACTGCTTTTTGTGATGAAGAGCTTGAGGATTTGGCACAAAAAGGAGTGAAGGGATAAATTCAATATTATTAAAAAAAAAAAAAGGCTAACAGGGAAATTGCAGTGTATAAAGAGGAGATTTCTTTTTCAGGATTGGAATAAAATGAAAACACTCTTTTGTGTTTTGATAGAATTCACCATTTCTTACTGAAAGGGTATTGATTTTTGCTCTCATATTAAAAGAATGATTAAAAGAGGTAATTTAAAAGCATTGCACACCACAGAGCATGGGACTGGGATAAAACAACAGACTTATAGCAATATTGTTATGGCAACTTTAAAACCCCTAGCAGAATGCATCATTTTAATTTCTTAGGTTATGATGGGAAATGTTAAGTTTACTCTTATGTGGAAGACCACTTGAGATAGTCAATGTCAGGGGAAAGTGTACCAACAACACAGAAGGATAAACAGCCTTGTTTTAAGGCTGTGCTTATCACTTAAAATCTCATTTTGTGGTTTTTTTTTTTTTTTTACTTTGTATTAGAAAGTATGGAAGGGAAATACGATAAAGAATTTTGCCTTAATAATTCTGTTTTTTTTTTTAAAACAATGAGGTGTATCAGATATTTCTTATGAAGTGAGGGTGGGGAGGTGGGGAAGAGATCATTAATGCTCAGAAGGTAAAAGTTATTCAGTCTAGTGCAACGCACTTCAAAATAAAGTATTTCAGTTGACTCCAAGGTCTTTTGCTGCGTCCAAAAACATACATGGCTACAATTACTTGACTTTTCTATGTCTCTGCTGCATAGATACCAGTTCAGTTTTTGTATATCTTGAACATTAGTAAGGGAGAATTAAGAACAGTTCCTAGTATCCTTTGTGTATTAGCAGAAAGAGACACTCTCAGCTTCAATAAGATTCATTTGAAATAAGGATTGTAAATTACTTGTTGTTATTTTAAGAAAAGATTATGCATTTCAAATAAATAACCATATCACTCTGCTAGGTAAATATCAAAACAGATAAAGCAATTAAACAAGAAATGCTAAAATTAATGAACACAACACAAATTTGATCCTATTCCACTGATTGCATGGCAGTGATGCCAGGGAAGCATTTGATTCACTTGTGCACCACCAAGGAAGACTGAAATACTGTTCTGTTGACCTTTTGAGACTGCCAAATAATTCAGTGTAAATTAGAATGAGTTTATAGGATTTCCCTGCAATACCATAGCCACTTTACTGAAAAACTAACTTAGGAAACTGGCTTTTGTTTTCACTTGCTAAATTCTTAGTTGTCTGCTGATAATGAATTAGTAAATTCATTGTATTTTTCTGATGCATTTGGTTTCTAATTGACTAAGAAGGTTTTATGGTAATTTAGAAGCTACTCTCATAATTTTCCAGATAGTTGGTATGAATACAATGTGTGCTGGATAGCAGTCCACAGTCCTAAAATAATTTCTTTATGGGCAGATCTTTTGCATGCATGAAGTCCCACTGACTTCATGTTCTCCACACATGGAGCTTACACATCAGAAGTTTAATATCTTTGAATTTTAGAAGCTGCGTGCTAGATAATCAAGGAGATTGCTTGTGTTCAGCTATTCAGCAGTTTAACCAAAACTGGTCATCCAAAAGGTTAGATATACATAGTAGAGCTCTGAGTACAACTCTTTAGTGTACAGAAATGTTTTAATTACACCATCAGAGATCAATAGTAGCTAGTTTTTTTGTTGCCCACCAATTCTTTAGTGTCAGGTTTGAAATGAACTAGCTGTTTTCTTAATGGACAGGGTTTCACCTCAGTAAAACCACCTTTTGTAATTGATGGTCTCAGAAGAAAGACGGAGGACGGAATAAGGTCCCGATCCGGGAGCCAAACCCATGCAGACAGAGCCCTACACCTGCACAGACTTCCACTGAGAAATCACCACCAAGGTTTGGAGACCCCGTAACTTTCTGGCCATTAAAAGTGCAACTCTCAGGCACAGCTGGACTGGGGGAGTCATGGGTGGAAGGTATGAGGATGGGTGCCTCCTCATTGACACCATGTGGAGTGGTGTGCTCATTTCCAATCACAAGGCAGGCTTGGGGTCATGTTACTCTCAACTCCCCACCCCTTCTTCCTTCTTCACCTTCAGAGCCAGGCAGCATTGCCACAAGTCAAGGCTTGCTGAAGGGGCAATGGCGGGGAGGCAGCAGGTGAGGAGAGGGGTAGCTTCCTTTGCCATCATTCTTTCTAATCTATAAATATCAAAAATAAAGGCAGTCTCTGCACTGAATTTCGTTTAATTCCTTTTTTAAATGGAAAAGTGAAATGATGCTCCCTTGACTTTGATTCTAAACGTTGCTTAGCTGGAATGGGAAAGGTAGCTGTGAGTGCATGAACAGCATTAAAACTCATTTATTGAATGATGTCACATGCTCTGTAATAAATATATTGTTTGTGTTATTGCAGCTGGAACAAACAAGTAAAAGCATTGACTCAAGTGCCCACATGATCACTACCGCCAGGGTACCTGCTGATAAGCAAGTACGAATTGCCTTCAGCCTGAATGACTCCCCAGGTACAGTTTAATTTATGGAGTAAACCACAATGAAATAGTTGTTTTGAAATTTTATGTGTACTTACCAGTGTTTACAATATCAAACGTAGTCCAGTATAATGGGTGGACTTTTTTCCTGAGTGGCAGCTGTGATCAGTTTTCCTGTCTGATAACTTTTAATGTTTCCATTAACAATTTCATTAGACTAAATCCACTAGATTGACAGTTTAGAATTCAGCTTTCTTTCAGTGGTTTGTGGGCTATACTGAGGACTGTGATTAACTATCAAATCTACCTGCACAGGCAGTATATCTGATGTTATGGAATTGTAAAACAAGAAAAGTAATAGGACAAATTTGGATGAGCCTAGAGCAGGAAGGGACTTTTTTTAGCAGGAAGGTTAAAAAGTGCCACACATGCCCAGCTTGGTGAAAGGTTTCAGGAAATGCATACCCCACATGGCATCTCTGAGAAAGCAGCAGAACTTTCATTGATGTTTATACTGTCAGCCAGTGCCCAAACACACACTGTACATACACGGACCCTTTGGCCTTTGGAATAGATGAATATTATTGGTTTACTCCTTCAATATTATGAAGGTCCAGAGAGCTGTTGCCAAACAATGAAAGTCAGAATGAAATAAAGCAGAAATTAAGCTGAAAAGCATCCCAAAAAAAGCTGGCTATTGCTTTTGCTAAAAGTACTTGGAGTCAGGGCTGAGATGTGTTTATGGATCTCTGATAACTAAAACCCTCTGCTGTTGCATGTTTTATGGGACTCTATGCATTGTGGGATAATGTGTGAGGTTGCTTCGTGAGCTTTGTGTGAACAGAATCTCAGTTTGAATACACTTTTCTCATGTAAAAAATATTTTAGAATATGCATCATCTTTCCTAGCAAATTTTTCTGTAATACTAATTTTTATCTACAATACTCAAATACAATCTCATTCCCTAAGCAAGGGAATCAAAAACCAAATATCTTCATATGTTATTGAACCCAACTTTCAGTTCGTAAAGATGAGTGACACAGAAAGATTAAGACAAGGAATATAAAGAAATAAATGTATATATATGTACTCTTTTTATAAATTAACATAATCTGGTAAATACATTTTTATTACAGAAAGCAGTAAAGAATCATTCTCATCTCTCAAGATACAGTCATGTGGTAAATCTCATACAGGAATTATGGCAAAGATAGGTCTTGAAGAGAGATGTAACTTATGGAAAAAGGATGCTTATGTGAGACACTGAAAACAAGTCAGGGAAGGCTGAAACCATGGGAAAATCAAAGACAGCAGACTGGTTTGTGACAAGAGATGACAACAGGAAATTGCAAGGTTGTGACTAGCTTGGAAGAAGGGGATATGAAAGGCAGGAAGCCTAACTTCCTTAACATTGCTTCATGGTTTATTTTTTACTTTTTTATCCTGCTGATAACTCCAGCCTCTCTCATAATGTTTAGGAAAATGAACCCAGTTAAAGAAAGGTAATCTTTTTCTGCCACATATTGTTAAGCTGTTCCATAATTTTGAATCCTTTATTGTATATATGCAAGTGTTCCTACAGTGTGCAATCCAGAATCTTCACGAGTGCTGATAAAGGAAAATAGCAACCCATAGAGTGAAAATGCTGTGTTCTCCTCCACATGCATCACATGCCTGTGAGGGCTACCAGGAGGCCTAAATCAACATATTGTTTTACCATGTCACAAGTTTCAAGAATTATTATGTTTAATATATTTAAAGAAGGCAAAGGAAATAAGCTTTTAACAGGTATGAAAATTTCTAGCAGACTCTAGTTGAATCAAGAGAGTAAAAACAAGTATTTAAAACCTTTTTTTCAAGATGAGCTGAAAAAGCCTTCAACAGATAGACCTTTAGGTATTCCATGGTTTTCCAGGCAGAGGTTTTTTTCTTTTTTATATTTCTTTATTCATTTTCTTTCCTTGAAAAGGAGATTTATTTTTTTTTTTCAGTTTAAGCAGGAGTTACCTGCTGTACGTGTGGTAGTAAAGCATCACCTGAGGCTCATGCACTGCTAAGCATGAACAGTAAGTTCTTCACCAGGGCTAAGTGGTCAGGAAATTGGTCTGACTTCAGCTTTTCCTTAAATTCTACTTCACTTAAAAGGCACAATGACACAGTTCACCAAAAAAGGCTGCATTCTCCTTCCGGGGCTGTACAATTGCTTACTAGGAGGAACTGGCAGCATAACTGGATATAAAAAGGGGAAATGGAATGTTTCTTCTGGGTGGCAATTATCTCACTGGCTAGGATTGTAACCAAGCAGTGGGTGTGAGAAGCAGTGAAAGGAGAAACTGCTCTCAACTTCACAAGAAGAAATTACTTTGTATTAACTGACCTACAAGACTGGGGCTGGCTTATTCCGAGTGTACAAGAAATAATTTAATTGTGCTATATTATTTGTGAGTCAACACCTGATGGCAAATCCTGGCCAGTTTTGTGCCATATTTTTAATGTGAAAGTAGGATAACCAGTTCCTTAAAAGTCTCAGGAGCAGCCCATTAGTGGGTGCTGTATAAGACAGTTTTATTGTGTATGTCTTATTCCTGTATATAGAGATCTCTATGTTTGGCTCTTTACTCAGGTTCACTAACATAGGTTTCCCACCATATTGCACCAGTTTTGACTTAAGGTACCATTTTAAATTAACAAATTGGAAACATATTATTCCAGCCCATCTTACATCACTTGGAAACTAATGTAATTTGAACTAAATATGGTGTTCCAAGATTTAAATAAGTGTTTCAAAGTTGATAATTCTTTGTGGTTTATCAATATCAACTTCATTTAACCAGTGACATTCAATATGTCCTAATATTTATCACTCTTACTTACAAATATATGAGGATGCAATCATTATAAGAGGAACTTCATGAAATTTAGACAAGTGGATTTGTTTTGTGCCCTACTTTGAAGGGAAGGTTTATAGGTAAACATCTCTTCAGCTTTCCTCCTAGAATAAAAGCTTGAGTCTGGATGAAAAGTTCTGCTCGTGACATGTGGTGATATATGACTGGGTTTGAACATATTAGTGAGTTCTTTTATTTGGAATTAATCTACCTCTGATAGAACATCCCAGAAAAATCAGTGACAAAGAAAGCAAAACATAAATTTTCTAATGAACCCAACAGATGGTGAAACAGAGTAATATTTTTGCAAGCATAGCAAAATTATTTATTTTACTCTTCTTTATGCTCATCATCCCAGTGACCACAAAGAACTTTTTGCCTTTCTAGTTGATCATGCAAGACTGTTTTGCAGTGGTTGCTTCTTCAAAAGCAACCTTCAAATTCCTACTCCGTCCTTATTTTGCTTGTAATGGCAACAGAGGCTTCCCAGGACACTGATTGAAAACCAGGAAGGGTTGCTAAAAATATATGGCTAAAATTTACAAAACTAGTTTCCTAAAACACACCAACCTACAAGGAAGTGGCTTGGTCTTTGGGGAATTAGATAGGAACTCATGTGAGATACCTTCAAAAGGATACTAATGAGAGGATGCTTATACTTCAGTGAAGGTATATGGAGTAGGAGGATTTTGCTGTCATCTCTTCTGTTATGGACTGCTTCTATTTTTGGGAGGTCCATAACTCTTATTATTGAGCAAGACTTCACATCCTATTCCTGGGCGAGGCAGTGACCGTTCCCCACTATTTTATGAGTGAGGTAACTGCGAGGTTTTGTAAGGTCGTGGCAGGCAGGGCTGTGAATATAAGCCCTGGAGCTCCGCACAGCAGTGCCAAGTTGCAGTCACTTAGCCACACAGCCTTCCAGGATGAATTTGATGAGTTGTCTGTCAGTATACAGGGCCAGAGCTGCTGGATCTCACTGTCCTCCCGGGGTCAAGAATGGACCCTGACACACAGTTTGCTGGTGTTGCCCCACTGCAAGTTGTGGTGCTTGTAGTTGAGTTTGAGTACTTTTTCTGTGTGAGGGCTGATCCGCTTACAGGATAACAGCCGACTTATGTTACCAATTTAATTCTTTAATTTAGGAGCAAGAAATCTGAATACGTGTAGGAGGAAAAAAAATAGTACCTGGTTGTATAATTAAATACTGGATCATAACTCAGTTACTCAAGGAAACAGAGCTGTGATTGGCATTTCCTATGTTTCGAGTGCTTGATTTAGCAGCCTTAATATGCTTTCAGTGCATTTAAATTTTTCTATTCTATTTCTGTCTATCTTTATGAAGATTATAGAGAAACTAATTTGCAGCTTTATGCTGCGAGCAAATCAGATGTTGTTCTTAAAGGATTTATTGCCTGTAGCCCACGGTTTTAGCTAAAGAGAGCAGCCATATATGAAGAGACTTGGATATTACACTTCATTGTACCAGACATTGTGTCAGTTAGACAGCAACATGTGAAGGATTTCTCATATTTGTCAACATGATGGAGGTCTGGGATATTGGAATCTCCAGGAGGCCAGAACATCAGTGGAGCTTTCCAGAAAGCAAGATTCATTCTCTAAAGTGCAACATTAGCATATATCAGAGGAATGCCTCAGGACATAAGAACATAAGTAGTAAGCCTTTTATATAAAGAAAATCCATCCTAACAGAGTTCAGATGCTCTCTGTTATAATGACGGCTTTCAGCCACAAGCAAAGCAAGCACGTGAACCATGAAACAAACAGGGAAATCAAACCCTTTTGTGCACATGAACCAAGTCTTTGGGTCAAAAAACCATCAAGTGTTCATCGTGTAATCAGGTTACAGGTCTTTAGGGCACTTTCAAATATAGAACTTCAAAATTAGATTTGGGATCTACGGGAAATCAGGAAGGGCTACTCATTTAGAAATCACTTTATAGATGCATTAACTTAGGTGGCTGTAATGAGGTCCCTGATATGATCCTTTTACATCACCAGTCAGTGCTGTTGAGTTTGCTGGGATGGCCATGGCATCCATATGTATGTTATTCTAACTTCCTCGTTTCCTTTTGACCAGTATCTTAACTCATTTTCAGGTGTAGCAAGTTCCTGTCTTTGATTTTTTTAATATTTTTGTTTTTTAACAAAATAGGCTTTTAACATCCAGCTTGAATTATAAATCCTTTTTCTTTGTGAGTTTTCTTATATTGACCACAGAGATGAGATGCTCTTTGTAGCTGTTGAAGAATCAGCCTAGATATTTTCAGGGGGTTTTGGTGTAGAAAATCCACTAACTTTATTGTAAAGGGGGGCATTGATCAGTGATTCCTAATCTAAGCACTCATTAAAAATTGATAGTGAATTGAGAAAAGGAGAAAAAGAGATAGTTCTGAAATTTGTTGTCTACTTAAGATGTAGAGTAGACAATAACAAATACAGATAGATGAGGAGGTAGTTCAAGAGTGTTTTGTTCTTCAGAATACTTACTTTGATTTTTCAGACGCTTCTTGTTTCTGATTTTCAGAGTCAGTAGATTCTGAAGGCAGAAATCAATGTAATTTTGGCTGGTCTTTTGCATAACGCCCAGTATTTCAGCTTGTAGGGGCAATAGTGATTCTTTCAGAAAAAAAATGCAAGAGTTTATATCCTTGCTCTTGACTTTCTGAAAACATCCTCAAAGAAGTTTTAGGAGCTGAATGACTGCTTTCATTTGCTTTCCCCTTGTGTGAAATTTAATCTTGTTTAGTTTTTACCGAGTGATTTTTGTTGTTATTGTTATGGTTGTTACTTTGACAACAGTGAAATACAAACTGACCTGAGGCAGTAATTTATTTCACTGAAAGCTGTGGGGAAAGTCTTTTGTTGTTCTTTTTGTGGAAAACAAGATTGCAGTTAGCTGTGAGGATTTCTGTTAATTTTCTGTTAAACTAAGTACTTGAGCGAAAAATCTCAAAAGAGCCTAAGAGAATCGGGAGCCCAGGAAAATTTCAAGCCACTAAAGTCCTCCACAGCATTTCTAGATGATGTTCTGCACATTGGATGATGATTTAAACAAGTCTTAAACTAGTATCACTAAAAAAAACCCCTAGCAGCTGTTCAATAGATGCTAGGGCAGGCCCATTATAAAATGTACTATGGTATGCCGTAATGGTTAGGATACCAGTACGTTCTATTTATGGTACCATTGACTCAGTCACTTGAGTTCAAAAAATAAGCAGGGAACATCTGTTTATTGAAAGGATTTCCTCTATATTAATTTCTCTCTCTATTCCATCCTTTATGAAGTACTTCCAAACTTTTTTAGTTGGTTCTTTTAGGAGGATATTCCAATTTATTTTCTAATACTCTGACGCTGCATTAGTTTTATTTTCTTATTAATAGCTGACACAGTGAAAAAGTAATTACTGGCTGATGTTGCTTCAATTTTATTTTTTTTTTTAGTACTTTGAAGGGTTGCTTTTGCTATGTTTTTCTTAATTTTAAAAATGTTCAGGATCCCTCCTTAAAGCTACTGTACCAAAGATTGTACTGCTGGAATTGTCAAAACAAATAGCAGCTTAACTGCCATCCATGACTCTGGTCCAAGATCTCTGTCAGAATATTTAACAGCTATTCAGCCAAATACTTGTAGAGCAGCTGTAGCCCGAGTCGGACTGAGTTTTATTCTGTCCTTCCTTTTAGCCTTGCCATATGATTCATCTTTCTTCTTTTAGAAAATTAGTCTATTTATAAATATTGTACAAGAAAGCAAGAGCAAATTAAAGGTAAACACTTGCATATCCTCATGATACAGTCCTCTACTATTAAAGCAATTTAAGTATATTCCAGAATGGACACGTTTGGGACATGGTGTGAAAAATGAAGGGGGGCACACACATGGCACGGGTATGACTTGGTAATGCTAGCAAGGCTCCTACAGCATGGAAATATTACTTTATTTTTTTCTTCTCTGGGCATCCCTTCCTAGACTCTGACCATGTGTTAGCCTGTATGCTTATTTTTCATAGGATAAGGTGACTTTTTTTACTTTTCCCCCCTAATTCCCTTTGCTATATGACCACGTAGAGCAGGATAAAAAGATATCAAATAATGATCAAATAATGATCAAATAATGACAAATAATTTAGATCCTAGCTTGTACTCTTTCAGAATATCCAGAATCCTGCTTTGATATGTGGTCCTCTTAGTCTTGCTGGGGTTTTGTTGCCATATACAAGTCTGCCAGCGTACGGCTTGTTGCAGGATCTGAACTGTGTTAGCAGTTTTCCCTTATGAGAGCCATCCTTATTTGATTTTGATACATTACAAATAACTGACTGTAAGCTAATAGTAGCGTTCTCCTCACCTCCCATAATCTGTAGTAAGATGCATAAGCAGTCATCCCAATCCAGCACAAAACTGATAGTGTGAAAGTCACTGAGAAGGAAATATTGGGATGGCTAGCTGTGATGCTACCAAGTATGATTCCAAGTATGTGTCCCACCTCAGTCCAGCTACTACTGGGCGGGTGTCCACATCACAAGCCTGACATAACTGGCGTAACTGTCCCACCTTTGCTGAAAGCCTGAATTATAAATAGATAAATAAATAGATAAATAAATAAATTAATTAATAAAAACATGGTTTGGCTTGTTGTCATGACTGAACTAAGTCTAGCCCATAAGGATTGTAATGGACAGGTTAAAGCCATGTCTCTGTGGTATGGAGAAATTTGTGGTGCCTTCCCCATTCTAATCATGTCTGTGCAGGTAACAGTCTTCATAGAATCATAGAATCACAGAACCATAGAATGGTTTGGATTGGAAGCAACCTTAAAGGTCATCTAATTCCAACCTCCCCAGCTCCAACCTGGCCCTAAACATTTCCAGGGCCCTAAACACAAACTGGCCCTAAACACTTCCATAGCTTCTCTGGGCAACCTATCCCAGTGCCTGGCCACCCTCACAGGGAAAACTTTCTTCCTAATATCTAATTAAACCTACTCTCTTTCCATTTGAAGCCATTCCCCTTGCCCCTTACACTGCATGTAAATTGTAAATAGTTTCTCTCCATCTTTCCTGGAGGCTCTCTTCAGACACTGTAAGGCCACAATTAGGTTACCCCAAAGCCATCTCTTCATGTTTCAGGGTTGCCAGGCCAGTTTGTGTGTTCTTGTGATTGTTTTTGCCATCATTCAGTTGAGGAATCCTTTGGTAGTAGCGATGCTGTCCTCAGAAGGTTTTTACTTTGTAGTGTAATGGAGAGAGCCCAGGAAGAAAGACAGTTTGTGTTTATTGGTTTTATTAAATTATTACAAGTTCTACTGGACTAACTGGCTTTGTTTTGTTTCTTAATCACTGCAATACAAAATAGATTTTCTGTCTTTCCATCAACTAAACATTTTCTTATTAACAACCCACTAGTATTTTCAAGAAATCTGTTAAGAAATCTCAACTGTAAAAGATAAGATGTGGAGGTTTTTTCAGGATCCAATATTATTGTCAATATATGCAATATAGAACTTCATCAGGTAGATTATTTGAAATGCCCTTTTTGGTAGACATTGACTTTTAACATCATGTTTACCTTTTAGATGATGCTTCCCCTGAAAACTTGTCTTTGGCATTTCCAGAACTAGATCAGCAGCTGCAGGTAAACTTTTTGTTGTTGTTGTTGTTGTTGTTACAACAGCCTGTTTCACAGTCACTACATTTGTTATGATAAAAAGCATTGTTATACTAAGGTGGAACTTTTCAGTGGTGCTTTTCTAACCTATTGACATTTAATAAGACTGTATATATCCATAGAAGAAAACATATATCCATGGAAGAAAACATCTGCAGAAAATTTGGTTTGGCATTTTTAATCGAATTGCAGGGAAATTAATATTGCAACAACCTCACCTGATTTTAAGACCTTTTGTACAATTCCTGTGTAAAATGCAGGACATGCTGCTGCACTGCAATGAAGAGAGTTCTTGTGTGTTTGGCAGGAGAAGGAATGAGCCAGGTATTATATTCTTATGCCTGCAGGCTGTGCTATGACTGATGTCATCAGCTTTCCCTGAAGCATTCCAACAGAAGCTGTACTGTGTACTGTAGTGCTGTTTCACCTTTAATCTTGGGGAAATAAAGCTAGTCATCAGGATTGATGAGAGCCTTATCAAAGTAACTGCGGTTTGTGCTGCACAGTGACCCTAATGATGGCCCTGGCAGGTGTCTGCAGACAGCCTGGGATAAAAGTGATGAGTCCTTTTGTGACCAGACTGATTTGTCAGCATAGGATGACGGAGCCCCGATACACTGGACAATGAGCAGTTGGTGGCAGCTCCATTAGTTCACCAGGCACAGAGCCAGTTCCACATCCAGGAATTATTTCACTTTTCTTTGTGGAGATTCTGGAGTGTTTGTTGGCTTTTGTAAAGTACTTCAGATCATCTGTTTTCCCGGGAGCATTTAGACTTCCTCTGATATTTCACTATGAAGGCAGTTGCTTCCTGGGTGTAAATTGAGAAAGGCATTAGCAGACCATGTTTGTCCAATAATGTCATCTTTCCTGTATCCATCAACTACTGAGACAACACGGGAGGGCTCCTGACTTCAAGGGCTGACTATTCTCTCCTACTGCTCTAATCAAAAGGATGTCTGCAAAAGGAATGAACGGTGACAGAGACTTTTATTGCTCTATGCCTCTCATCAGGTTCCTTTAGGAATCATTAAAGAAATGAAGAACATATTAAGATTTGGGACAAAAGGAACAGGATAGTTCGCTGGCCTCTTTATTCTGCTGACCTTCCAGTGCAGCGAAAATGATTGACTTTTTTTTCCCTCAGAAGAGTTCAGAGAGCAATAATGTTTCATGGCTGAAGCACTGAATTGAAAGTAAAGAACCCGCATTCTGTTTCCAGCTGTGTTGGTGACACATTGCCTAATCCTTCAGTTGCTTTCATCCCTCTGTTCACCTCTGAAATTAGGTTAATTTTTATCTTATTTGTAGAGCATTAAGATCAGTGGGTGAGGATTTCTCTAAAAGAGTAAAATATGATTATTATTACTGCTCTTGGCACATAAAAACAAAATTACTAGTATTAGATATAGGTACTTTACAGGACAAGTGATGATTTTTTTATTAGGACTTTTCTGACCCATATTTCTAAAACATATAATATACTCTAAATGTGTACTTTCATTATAGACTGGCAATGCTCCTCTCGAAGCTTTCAAGGCTGCTGGATAAATAGTAGCCCTTTAGTAAAAGTTTTTAAGTACTCACCAGTGCAATTCCACCAAGTACACCCTGTTGGTCTCCAAAGTACTTGGCATGTTTTTAAGAAACCTTCCTTACTCTCATGATCTCAATATGATAACACATTGAAGCAACAATCAAAGGCTTTGATTCAGATAATGTTCTCTTTATTACCATTCAGAAACTCTTTTAGTAATATTGGGGCAACTGAAAAGATAACTTTAGAGGACTATTTGTCTGACTCAACCACTTAAAAGTATAAAATTAGTGGTAGTGCTTCATCCTTTAGTTTTTTCAAGCTTATGTTTGTATTTATATTTAAATACCTTTATGTTCAGCCAGAGGCAGTTAAGTCAACATAGGGTTCTGAGCTAATGCAGAGATAACAGTACATTTAATTTTAGCAATGAAAACTTGAATATTCTTGCTTTTGTCAATCTGGATCACAGCTTTACATGGTAACTATATAATGTAATTACAATAATTTTGCACTGCTTTAAAATTTCAAACAAGCATCAACCATTGTAATTTACCTAGCTACATTCTCTTATTAATTATTTTTTTTTAAATTACTATAATCCAGACTGCTGGGTGGTTGTCAGAATTGTGTAGCATGTGGTTGCAATTTGTGTTAACGTAACCATGCCAGCTTTGAAACAGGTAGATCCTAGAGTGCAGAAACAGCTACAACACGGGCTCCACCAGGACCTGCAGAAGTACTGAATGGTGGTGTCCCTTGTCATTCTATCCATGCTTTTCTCCACCCCAGAGTTTTCTAGGATAAAGCAGCACACATGAAGTATCATGTAAATGAACCTTTTAATCACCTGTGGCATAGCAGCCTGAAATGCTTGAATTTGCAAGAATGCCGGTACATATTTTTGTAATGAAAATATGACATCTAGAGCCACAAGATGTTCATCACCGTGCCATAAATACAGTCAAAAGAGTTTGTATTTTATTTAAAGAACCAAAGTATAAATGCAGGTTAGGTGGGTATATAATAATAGGCACTATAAAAAAAAAAAAAAAAGGTAGTAACTTTCCAGGTTTCAAACATACAAAGGAAAATTTTGAAACCTGTTTTAAAAACAAACAAACAAACAAACAAAAAGCCAAAATTAGCTGGTCTTCAGGCTGGATCTTGAAAGCAGCTTGAAAGCTATGTAAGTTCACTGAGTCACTTGGAATTCTATGCATGTAGGCAGCAGACCACAGCCTGAGTACCCAGCAATTTGCACCTCTGTTTTAGGTTTCAAGCCCTTGTCCTCCTATGTTAGGCCCTGGCAGACAGCTTGGCTATTTGAGCAGAATTACCTAGTGTTGCCACTTTTCCTCACACAGCTCCACCATACCTGCCCCCCTCTCACCACTGTCTGATGGCAAAGTTCAGCGCAGCCCCCTCATGGCAGGGTAACAAACCCTGCTATCCAAGCACCAGCACTGGCTCTGCAGAGGTAGAGGTAGGATTGGCTGGAGAGAAGGTCTTTCTAGGAGACTCAGCAAATAGTTAATTCTCTATAAGGACTCTTACTAAAGGACGGTCCTAGATACAGCTTCTCTCTGAAGAATAAAAATGATCAGTCTGTATCTTCTGGCATACTAGGTAGGTTCAGACTAGAAATATTTTATTTTCAAATTGCCAGTGTGAAATTTTTTCTTTTTTTTTTAAACCTAAATCAAAATTGGTTTATGGTCAACTAGACACGAAAGCCCTCCATATGAGAACAGAGCAGTTTAAGCTGTATGTGGGTCTCTTTTGCAGCTTTATTATTAAAAAAAAAGAAACTATGAAGAAGTTATCACTGCTAAGTTGTCACTGAAACAAAACTCATATTATTAAACCTCTTTCTTTTATTTGCAGTATTGTAAATTATTCTCTTCCCACCCATGAGCAATACTTTGAATGAGGATAAAACACATGCTTATTTGGGCTTTTGTTATTTCCCTCAGCTGTGTGTGAGTCGAGTGGTGGGTAGTGCAGTGAGGGCTACACTTGTCACTTTGTCACTGGGAAACTTTACCCTTTTCCTTGTGTAAAAGCTGGACTGGTCCTTGGAAGGCACTTCCTTGATTATCCACAGAGTGGGTGGTGGCCCCTCTGACAGACACTCTACTATGGGTTGTCTGCTATATTTAGACACCTACATCAGCATCTAAGGCCTTCTTGTTCAGGTCACTGAATGCAGAGGGAAGTATTTAGAGTTAAGTACCTGCATTGCTATGCCCTGTGTGTTGCCTGTCCCGTTCCAGCACTTCCTGTGACTTGCTCAGTTCATCTCCTATTCTCCATCAACATCTTTATTCCGTGTGGGAGTTTGATCCTGAAGAGGGAAGAACACAAGTCACATATGGATGCACGGGGTGTTCTGTAATTCTTTATCATTCAAGGCCAGGTTGGATGGGGCTCTGAGAGAAAACTGATCTAGTGGAAGGTATCCCTGCCCATGGCAGGGGGTTTGGAACAAGATGATCTTTAAGGTCCCTTCCAACCCAAAGCCATTCTATGATTCTGTGATGTCTTCTCATGAAATTGTGAGCTTGTGGAGGGATTTATGTCATATTTTGTATTTTTGTACTACAAATCTGTGGAGATTATTAACAGAGAAAAAGCTCCAAGCATTTATAATATCAGCTTTCTAAGCCACAGGATAGTTTTTCATGCTTTAGTGGCAAATGCCTATACAAAAGAAGCAATGAAAACGTTATGAAAGGGACAGTTTGTTGTGCATGATATAAGCATTTAGCAGAAACCTTGTTTACTCTGGAACTTTAATTGATTCTACTGAATGCCAAGATTCTTAGACACATAAAATTATTTTAGAAAGCTTAAGAGTATACTGCGTTTTTAAAGAGGATGATGTATTTTTTTAATATTTATTAATATTTTTAATATTAATTTCCATAAGAATTCCTAGAGTTCTGTGGTACTCTAAAATGAGATATGAACTTGAAAAGTTTCCTGTAATGCTGCTGTAATAACTATGGTCTTAGGTTATGTAAGACATGGATGTTCACAAAGCCAGAACATCATCCTGAAGTTAGAAAAGAATGGAAAATGTCTCAGCAAAGGAGAGCAAAACTCTCAATTGCTCTTATCCAGTTGACCTGAATTGTTTGGAGGAAAGAGAGCTGCTTACGTTCATGGTAAAACTAGACTAGACAAGGTATATCCTGAAAGAGATATCTGAAACTGGTTGAAGAGTTCCACTTGCACCACAAAAAGTAGCTGCAAAGTGCTACTTTTGCTGGGAATAATGTGGTTTCTTCCATCATGGAAGAGTACACAAGGCTGTAAAATGAACATAGGCCACCATGCAAAATATCAGCACTGAACTTTCTGGTTTTCCACAAGAGTTTAGCTGAAAGTTATCAAATTTACAAAAAGCGAGATACCACTCTTTCCTTAGACCAGTGGTAAAGAATGCTTTCTAGACAAGTTCATGTGAGCTGGCAAAGCTGCCTGATACAATTTTCTCTTGAAACTTCAACATTTTCAGGAGAAAGTTTTAATTTTCTTTTTCACGGTTGAGTCAAAAAGTAAATGCAAACAAATTGTGGTGAATTACAATGGTCCCGTAGACCATTTCCCAGTTTTACAGCGAGTTATTCAACCAAGGAAAAATCAGACCTTGTTGAAAATCAGGCATAATAGGATAGACCACTAGCATAACTTAGAGCTGTAGCTTTTGTAATAGCTTTGTGAGCAAAATCAGAGATCCTGCATGCGCATTATCTTGCCAGCACTGAGAAATGAGAGTGGATGACACTGAAGCCTGAAATAAACAGGATTAAAAGTAGTAACTGTTGCCATTAAATGTAACTTTCTTTGGCAGTGATGTTTTTTGACTTGTCTAGCAGGTATGGTTTTATGTGTATTAATTTATGGATGGGCAAGGTACTACATGAAGTATCAAGCTTGGTCTGTCCTAAGAAGAAATCAATGTATGGCTGTTTGCTTGAGTGAAAAATGTACACACTGCAAACTGAACTTTATTCATGCCTGTTGTAAGTAGTTACCTGGATAAACTAGCAAACTCTCACCAAAAAAATGGTACACAGGCTTTATGGAGTGCCATCAGACTAGCATCTGCAACACTCTCCATGGTCTGGCCCCATGCCTTCAAAAAGGTCATTCCAGGTGGAATGGAGACTTGTAGCTCTCCTTTTCTCATGTGATTGGAAAAGAGGCATTTGTTAAATAATGAATGCATTGGCCAGTTTAATATCCTAGTGGCCAGAAATTACTCATGGACATCCATCACTAAATACTATCACCAAAACCTTTCTTAGAAATTTCCAAATTGCAAAAGAACAAGGCAAGTTGTCCCGTTCTGGCTGCCCCATCCCTGAAAGTGTTCAGTTCCAGGTTGGACGGTGCTTGAGGCAACCTGGTCTAGTGGAAGGTGTCCCTGCTCATGTCATGGGGTTGGAACTGAATGATCTTTAAGGTTCCTTCCAACCCAAACCATTCTATGATATGATTCAATTATATGATTCTATCTAGTCATATGAAAACATAGTCAAATCTATGTTTTAAAGAAAAATACACTAAAAAAGTTCTTTATATAGTCTTTAATACCATCAGACATGATTGAAAATAATTGCATGAACAGAACATTAGTAAACTGATTATATTTTTTGTTGTAAGTTTATTTTAAGTGCTAAAATATCAGTGTAAGAAGAAATGTCACTGAAGAGGACAATGGTAGGAAGGGGGTTGAAAATCAGCAACTGGTTCTAAGTGAACCTTAGATACTAAGTTTCAGCATGACTAGATAATTTTTAGCTCTCTATATATATCTTTTGAGTGGGAAGCTGGAATATAGAAACTGAACACTGTTTAATTTTTAAACTATTTAAACCAGCTAGATTAGCAGAAACTAAGTTAGAAGCAAATCCAAGGTGATTTTTCTGTTGGTTTGGTTTGGTTTGATTTTCTTTTGAAGTATCACTGTTTGGGGACTTTCCCTTTGGTGCTGTTCAGAATTTTTTTATTGTGACACATTTGTTGATGGCTGATCTCTGGCAGATACCAGAGATGCTACTTTGGCTCATCCTTGCATTCTTGGATTAGAGCACTGAGACTTCTATATTCTGTCTTGTTAAATTTATGCTTATTATTTGGGTGACTGTATGAATGGTGCTATTGCTCATCCACATTGAAATGCAATTAAAAGCCCTTTCCTAGGGATTAGATTCATCAAGGAATGGGCTGCCCTCTTCCTGAGTACCAAAAATCTCTAAAATCAGAGAGAATGTCCTGTGAAACAACTCTGCTGCAGCATTTTTGCATTCAGAACATAGGAAATGAGTGTCTGTGTTAAAATTTCAATGAGGGATCACATACCATCTACAGGTACTCTCAAGATCCATGCATTACTTACATCTGTGCATTGGGTAACATCTGAACCAACTTACCCTGTCTCCTGGATAAAAGTGGTTTTAACCTTTGTCTCTGAATTTTGAACTTAATTTTCCAGTTTAGATTTAAAAAAAAAAGGATTAGAAGATCATAAATAGGAAAGGACTGATGACTTGTGCTTTTGTTTTCCTAGTAAAATGTCATTAAAGGAATACTATGCTACAGAGAAGAGTCAAAGTAGGATGACAAAAAATGTAAAATAATCTACTAATATTGTGAAAGGCGTTTGGATGCTCTTTAACTAGGCAGCAAGGGAACTATTTTAAGTGTTTCCTTTTGCTTCAAACAGGTGGCTCAAGCATGCTATTTGGAGTTCATTTACAGTCAACAGATTCATGGCTAATAACTTAGAAGTACTTCCTGAAAGTGTTATAGCCAAAATGTGATAAGTCTGAAGCCTGAATTAAGCAGTTTTCTTTTTAAGGAACAAAAAGTACCTACATATAACAAAAAATTTATTTTCAAGATCTCAGCTGAAATTCGCATGAGGAGTTCTAGGACTGAGTGGGTTTATTTGCCATATTTATTAATTCAGTGTGCATTAGAAAAACGTTAAAGTTTTGCAACCATGATTTTGGTACTTAGGATAGGAGGTATAATGCTTTTGTCTTCAATGTGTCTCTTTTTTACCTGATTTTGTTTTTTTTTAATTGCCATCATCCTTCTACACTCAATCTCACCTGTGCTTTACAGGAAAATGTAAAACACTTTGTAAATAAGCTGATTTAACCCTCATAATCATTCTAATAATAATGGCCAGTCTTCGCGAGCGAAGATCCGGGGAAGGTCTTTCCACCTTCCAGCCTGCGCATTGGATTTTTTAGGTGAGACACAGTGTGCGCGGAACTGAGCCCACCCTTTAATCCTAAGGTTCATCTGCCGGGGCCAAGCGAGCTTGGACGGTGGCAGCGAGGTCCTTAGGACGTAGGTGGGTTGCCTTTAAGGGCTAACGAGCTCCACCTGCCCGGGAGTGGCCCTGACCGGGAATCGAACCCGGGTCTCCGCGGTGATAGCGCCGCGCCTTTACCACTAGACCACCAGGGGTTCCTAATCATTCTACTAAGTAAACATATCTCCTTCTTCTACAGGAAATAGAGATGCATAGAAATGGTATTACCTTCAGAAAGCTGTTTACAGCCTGAGATATTGCTGGGATAGAACCCATCATGAAATCTTGGCTGCACTGGAGTCAGCAGTCTAACTCCTGTTGAGTCCAGCAGAATCAACCCCAGTGTTCCAATTCACAGCCCTGTCCCGTTTAGGAATAAACTGGAATAAGCACTGCACTGAGGAATAAAAAGAGTATTTAGTCTATGTCTTTTCATGTGTTTTGTTCTCATCTCACAGAACTGGGGAATAAGAGCTTGTTTGCACTCAAATTCTCCTTCTGCCCAGAGCTGTAGTTTCTGCAGTGAAAAGACACTTATGTGTGTTATGGGTCTGACCAATGCATCAACCTTAGCATTCATACATCACTGTAGCTGAAAAAGAGGGATGTAAGGGAGAAATCTTTCTTTGCTTGATCTTTAGGAATACTTTGCAAAACTGACAAGGAGATTTCTGAAAATTCTTACAAGGTTTGAAGGTTTACGCATATTCTTATGCAGAGAAGTGGGATTGTTTTGGGGTTTTTTCCTTCCATGAAAGGCCATTGCTAGGAATAGTTGGCAATATCCTGCAGTTAGGGGGGAAAAATTCTCACAGGAATTAAGACAAATATTGAATCTTTCAAAATATGCATTTTTAAACTAATATTTCATCCCAAAACAGTGTAATTTTTTTTTTCTTTTTGTTAAAGCCTCTGCCTCCTTGCCATGAGTCTAAGGAATCTATGCAGGTGTATAAACAGCACTGCAAAATAGCAGAAGAGTACCATGAAGTCAAGAAAGAAATTGCTCTGCTGGAAGAAAGAAAGTAAGTAAATTTCCCAAAGGATTTACTGTTGTATAATCTCCTTGTAAAATCCTGTTTTAAACATGAGGTTTTCACATAATGTTTTCCAACCTTATATACATATATACTTACATATGTATATACTTATATGTACACACACAGTTTATAATTGTGACTTTCCAGTACATGAAAGGAGCCTATAAGAAAGGTGGAGAGAGACTATTTACAAGAGATAGGAAAAGAGAGAATGGCTTTAAACTGGCAGAGGCCAAGGTTTGGATATTAGGAGGATGGGATATTAGGAAAAAATTTTTCCCTGTGGGGGTGATGAGGCACTGGCACAGGTTGCCCCATCCCTGGAAGCGTTCGAGGTCAGGTTGGATGGGGCTCTGAACAAGCTGGTTTTGTGGAAGATGTCCCTGCCTGTGGCAGGGGGATTGTTACTGGATGATCTTTGGGGTCCCTTCCAAGCCAAACCATTCTATCATTCTTGTGACTCTATGATTCTATTCCAGACCTCGGCCTGACACTCACAGTCCAAGTAGGCCATTGCTCCATAGGATCAACTGGACCCACTAAGAGCTGTCACTGTTCTGGACCCTCACCAACATGCATGTCCCTTAAAACCTTCACTGACAGCCCCCAGGTCACATAACAATCCAGTTCAACTGGTGCAAATCTCCTTTTTAATGTTAGGGATTTTTTTTATTATTTCACTTTATACATTTTAATGACGCATGTAACAGATCCTCAGTAAGGCTTAGAGTGCTTGACAATATTGGTAGATGTGTTTCTGTGAGTTGCACTGTTTCTGTACACATTGGCTCAATGCACATTGGCATTTTAGGTGTTTGTATCCAAAGTGCATAAGCTGGAGACTTTTTGCATGTCTGTGGCCTGTACTCACAGCCCTGTCATCTTTTGCATGGCTGTTAAATGGCAAAGTGCACTCTGTGGCTCTCAGTCCATTTCCACAAGAAACCTGAAAAAGAAATTCAGAGAGAGGAAAGAGGGTGAGTAGTGAAATCCCTACCCAGCTGACCCAGCTGAAGTTCAGCCAAGTTTGCATCCATGGGAATCTTAGAATCAAGCTGATGGGAGGGAAACTATTGAAATCCTGTATTCTTACAAGATAGCCAAAGAACTCACTGAATCCAAACTATGCAGGCTAAGAAAGTGAGATGTCTTTAGGGGGGTTGATGGTTATAGACACAAGATAGTTACATTTTGCTTAAAATGTCAGAGCTACTTGAGGTTTCCCACTACAAATCTGCTTCCACTGAAGGATCTCTGTGGCACTCAGGTTCTGACAAACTGGCACAAAGAGAAGAAAAAGTACCCAGAAGAGACTAACACTACATTGTCCCTGCATGGAAAAAATGCATGACAATGCAGTGTTTGGATTTGATTCATCATTCACTGAACCTGATCAATCAAATGTAATTGGTGCATTTGGAAAGATGAAGAAAAGATAATTAATTCAAATAATTTTGCAATGATTTGTCAAATTTGGTTGTCTAATATAAGCCACTTACATATGTATTTAGTAATCAAGTGAATTCAGTGGAAACCCATGTGACTTCTTCTATTCTGAAAATCCAAATAGAATGTAAAATATTAAATGGTCATTTAAGTACTTAGACTTTAGATCTATAAACCCAAAAGGTGGCCTTAGATCATTTGGATCATTTGGATTTTAGGGTCTACTGATATAAATCCATTATTATTACTGGCACATCCCTGAATCAGTTATGCCTATTTATGAAGTATGCTTGAAGCCTCTAAAAACTAGACATTTATATTATTATTATAACTATAGACATTTATATTATTATTTTTGCACTTTCTTAAATGAAAAATATATCCTGTTTGAATGCCATCTTTTAATCTATGGAGTCTGTGGTATTAGTTGAATTAGAAATTCTTGAGAATGGCAGGTACATGCACAAAATTGTTTGCCAGAGCTCACAGCTGTCCTAATCAACTTCTGAGCCCAGGTGTCAGCCTCTCTGCAGTGATTACTCTGAATGAATTAATGGGCTTCAGGCTGGATTTTTCTTCATTCCACCAGCGGATGACAACAGTGAAACAATGCCAGGATGTTTCCACCACTGCTACCTTTGCTGAACCTGTTCTGTGGGTTCCATGCCCCAGTAAACACATGTTAAGAATGAACAAGGCAACAAATGGAATTATATTACTGTGGTTCTTCTGTGCCTTCTAATTACATATTTGTGGCCTTGTGTTCACGTGCTGTATAGCTGTGAAATGCCTAAACGTGACAAATATCGTGCAGCACCTTTCACCACTGCCCGTGTCTCTTAATCTGAAGAAGTGGTCCTAGAGCACCGGGATCGAAGATGTTTAATATCCTACAGGTTGGTGCACTGGTTGCTTGATTTTGAGCTTTAACAAGCTGCAAGTGCCAACTGAAGATTTTTTTTTTTTTCTCCAAATGTGAACTGTTTATAACTTCCCCTCCAGGTAGATTCTCCATTTTGTAGTATTTTGGAGTAGGTCTCCTGAGACTGCCTTTCCCCATTGGGGTGTCATTGCTTTCTGTAGCAGAAAGGAATGTTTTTACTTTCTGTTTTAATAAACCTTCCAGAAACTAACTGGGACCTCTTCACTGCATGAAGTTTGGTTAAAATTGGAAGGGGGATTAGAAAGTTATTAGGACATATATACTTTTACACACATGTAGGCTTACAAACCTGAGCACACTTATATAGTTATATACACCGTATGATTGCAGCATTTCAGTACCTGAAGGGAGCCTACAAGAAAGATGGAGAGAGACTATTTACAAGGGCATGTAGAGATAGGACAAGAGTAGAATAGCTTTGAACTGACAGAGGATAGGTTTAGATTAGATAGTAGGAAGAAATTCTTCCCTCGTGAGGGTGTTGAGGCACTTGCACAGGTCACCCAGAGAAGCTGTGGTTGCCCCATCACTGGAAGAGTTGAGTATGACATTCTTAGAATGGATGCTTTGACTTTTTAGAAAAGTCTGATGAGATGGACAGTCTTGGAGCCTCAAAAGTAGTTCTGATCAAATTGAAAAGATGGCATTTGGAGCTTTCTGAAATTTGCCCTTGTTTTGGGTGTCTTTATCTTCTACCTTTGAATTTGAATGTGGAAAATGGAAATAAAGATCCACAACTGCCTAATGCACCTGTTATCTATAGTCTATTTCTCTGAAATACTATTTTGATAAAATGGACGATGATCGAGTTTCACGCCTTTTAACGTGAACAAACAACTTTATAGTGTTGCTCAGTGTACATTTTTACCAAATGCAACCACAAGTTCTGTTGGAGGATACCCCTGCCAGTGCTCCCAACTTCCCTCCACAGGTAACTCACCTGTGTAATTACGATGGCAAGTCACACCTGGCACTGTCTGCATAGGTGGTGTCTACTGATAGAACACTCTGCACACAGAATACTGAAGGCTATGATTGACAGGAAAAACAAACCAACAAAACAAAACAGAAAATGGATTGAGCAAATATTTTCTATATGTTGGCAAGGAGGAAGAAATAACATTAAATTAACCTGGCATAAATATCTACAGCAGTGTTAGATCTTCTTAGTTAAAAAAAAAAAAAAAAAAAAAAAAGTAATTAAGTTCATTCTACTTTAAATCATTTTTGTTCCAGCCTTCAAGCTTCAGTGTCACCTCCATACATGAAATAATATATGCAGGTATATTTCTAAAGGAGGTATCTTTAAGAAATAGAAAGCTGAAAAACATCGTTTTAAAATAGTCAAAAATATTTAATCTTTTACAACTTTTCAAAGGCTTAGCTTGACTTTTCTCTCACTGAATTGTGAGCATCAGGTATGGCCAAAGTATCAAAAGTCATTGATGTAAGGAAGATTGCTTTTCATCAAGGCAAGAACAAAGCTTATTTGCCCTTTCTCTTGTATGCAGTGTAGATGGTGAAAGAATGTTCTAGGCTGGGAGTGGGAGAGAAGATGACAACTATTTCACAGGAAGATGGGAAATGTGTGAGAGGAAAAGAGGCTGCAGTTTCAAAAAAGGGAAAATAAAAGGACAAAAGCAAATAAGAAGGGTAAAAGAAGTTACTCAAGAAGAAGACCAAAAAAGGAAGTAAGAAATTGAAAGAATTTAAAAGAAGACTGAGTAGATTTTTTTTTTGCTAATATAGTCATAGCTTTGTTTGCTCTCTTCACTCAAACTCTTCCCATTTATGCCAGCAATATGTAGTACAAGGGGAAAAAATCACTGTGGAATGGGAGACACGATTGAAAATAAAGAAAAGGGTGTGGAAGCGAGAGCACACCACATTTAGGGCACAGAATGTAATTTAATTTATGTTCCAGAAACACACATGTATTTCCATAACAGATGTTTTGGGGTATCTAAGTTTGGGTGAAAGGGGTGGGATGGTTGGTTATTTTGAGCACTTGTTATATTGCTATTACTAGATAATGACCCTGGATTATGTAGTTAAATATTAGAGTTGCCATGGTTGCTAGCTGTGTCTTATATTCTTAGCACTGGCTGGTTATCACTTTTTCCTCCCCCAGACAATTCTAATATAACTCTCCAGAAAATATCATTTGATCACCACCTGGTTTAGGATCACTCCTTTTCTTTGCCACGGGTATGACTTCTTTTCTTCTTTTGCACATGTCACAGTAGACAGAGAATCATAGAATCATTAAGGTTGGAAACGACCTTTAGGATTATCAAGTCCAACCATCAACCCAGCAGCACCACCACGTTCACCATTAAACTATGTCCTCAAGTGCCACATCTACATCTTTTTTTTTTTTTTTACACCTCCAGGGATGGTGACTCCACCACTTCCCTGGACAGCCCATTCCATAGCCTGACAACCCTTTCCAGAAGAAGTTTTTCCTAATAATGTGGGAAGTGAAGACGATCTTATGGCCACCAGAACACAGACACATATTAGCTGTGAAGAAATGTGTGATGCCACAGATGATCCTGAGTACATTGTTCACAACTGGGGAAAGACAAATCTGACTCTTTGTACTCTGGAAGCTGTTTTCCTTGTGTCCCATCCATCTCTAAATATACTCATCTCCAGACAGATTTATCTGCTTAGTCTGACACTTTTCTTGGTATTTATTCATTGTGAATATTAGTGTTAAGGAGCTCTGTTGTCTGCATGGTCAGTCATTAGGGCCAAGAGAAATAATTTCCCTAAGACCATGCTGTGTTTTTCTCCTGCTCTGGCATGGTTGTGGTTTATGATTCAAGTCACATTAATGTTCCCTTCCCTCACAAATCCCTCACCAAAAAAGAACACTTAGAGTGTACATTACAGATTGTCTCAAAGCTTTGAGTACCTCAGCACCAGTTTAGAAAATACCTTATCAATGCTGTTAATATTTAAACTTGGGGTACCCATTAACAGAAAACACAGATTACACAGTGCTAGACCTATTTATTAAGCATCTGTAACAAAGGCTACATGGTGCAAGAGCTTAATATGGTGTTCTTTAACCTCTGGAAGCTAAGTTCAAATCCTGGATTAGATCAGAAGCAAATGTTACTGTCCTCATCCTTTTGTGAGCTTCGTAAGCTACCCCATTCATAACATTTAGCAATTCCCTGGTACTCTAATTTTAGATCTGTGGCAGGCTGACAGTATTTGCCTGAAACATCTCCCTACCCTGTAAACAGGTCGTTGATCCTGATGGGAAGGGAATAAGCAGGTTCTGCTGACTCAGAAGTGAGCAATTTTACAACAGAATCACAGAACAGGCTGAGTTGGAAGGGACCCACAAGGATCATCCAGTCCAGCTCCTGGCCCTGCACAGGACCATTCCCAAGAGTCACACCATGTGCCTGAGAGTATCGTCCAAATGTTTCTTGAACTCTGTCAGGCTTGGTGCTGCGACCACTTCCTGGGGAGCCTGTTCCAGTGCCCAACCACCCTCTGAGTGAGGAACCTCTTTCTAACATCCAGCCTGTAGCATTTATTGGACTTCCAGCACAATCTCATGGGTGGCCAATCAATAACACATATGTGCAGCTGTACACACAAGTAGCTACACAAGTAGCTACTTGCCAGTTTACTGGAAATTAGTTATTTGGACAGCTGTTTGCCTCCAATGTACCAGGAGACAACTGGAGATACCATCCCAAACAGAAACTACAGGAAAGATGGCTGAATTGCTCTTTTCTGCCCAGACAGTGCTACTGGATCACAGAATGAGTGCAAGGAAACTGCTTTCTATGAGGGAAGTCCTAGAGTATGGACTACAGCAATATTTTTATTTTAGCACATTTATAGCTTAAGAGCAAAGGTAAATCCCAGGAGAGGAAAATAGTTACCTGTGTTGCTTGAATATTACTGAAAAGCAGCATGAATGCCATGCCTCCACAAAGTCTCATCAAATCAGGAGTGACATTCATTAATAGAGTTGTCCGAGTTTGCACATTGTCTGTCTGTGCCACTCCTGGCTCAAGTCCAAATAGAGTAGTTAGTACCATTCTTTTTCTAGTACTAAAAGTCACTGCAGAAAAGATTTGCCTGCTTTGAAGATGCTGATTACTTGTTAGTGTGTTCACTGCATCTCTCTTTAAGAAGCTCATAAGTGTACGAAAAGTAAGGAAGAATGATTCTGAATCCATTTCTTTGGACACTTCTGTTTTAACAGTCTGTAATTTGAAAGAGCTTAATTTAATCCTTCAGTCCAGCACTGCACCAGAGAATAGTTGGGAAGAAATATTGCTGACACTCTCTCTTGGTCTCCAGAAACAAAAGGTCTTCCAGAGGAAGCCCTTGAGAGACTGAAGTGATTAAAGACTTGTAAAACCTCATTGTCCCTAAATGTACTTTTCACTCTCTAAAATACTTCTCCATGGCCTCTGTCCCATCAGTAAGAGCTGTCTAGCAAAATCATCTTGGCCCCTTTGAAAACTGGTTGATATCGCATGGCCCAACCAAAAAGAAATGAACCTGCTAAAGGCTTGCTGCTTTTAAAAGTTTTACAACTATGTTGTGTCAGATGTAAACAGAATTTTGCTGAGCTAAAATATGCTCTTGATGTTTTCTCTCAAGGGCCTGGCTGAATACACCTTTCACCTGGTGAAAGGAAAGAGGCTTTGCTGCAGCACAGCTGCTCTGCGTTACCTCAATGGTATAAAACAAAGCCAGCATATTTAAAAGGTACAGGAGGATGCCTATATATTGCCTCTTTGGGATGATTTAAAATCTCTGCAATGGCTGCTCACTCTTTTTTCTATTATTATTTTTTCAATGGGAAGCACAGTTGGGAGGCATGGCTGCGCTGAGTCTCTTCTAACTTTGTGACTCCTCAAACTGCAGTAACTGTGACTGTAAACCATGGGCAAACTCTGCTATCACTGAAAGCTGCAGTAAAGACAGAGGAAGGTCAAATTGATCCTAAAATCAGCCTAGACAGAAGTGTTTTTCAAAAGCCAGGTGCTTATGCTTTTGCTGCTGTAAGTGGTAGATTTGCAGCTATAAGTAACGTAAGCGATCAGCAAATACAGAAATGTTATCTTTTCGTGAATACTCTGACCTGCGGGAACAGAAATCCAGATCTGTAGGAATTTCCTGTCTGAAAGCACAGGTCTAGCCTGGCAAGAAGGCAGCAAAAGCTACCCACTTTGAAGGTACTAACATCTTCCCACTGATGACCTACAAGCATTGTTTTGATATGACTGAAAAATAAAGTCATAGGGCTATGAACCGTTAAAGATTAACTAATCTCTAAGATAGAATGATCAAAAGAACTAAGAACCCTTTAGAAGAGACTTCCTGTAGCAGGGGTGAATTTTTGACTTAAAGGGAAAAAAACTGAGGCCAGGCTAGCCTGCTGGATGACTTCAGTGGAGAACAATTAGTAATTCACTAACCCTGTGAGTTACTCATGCCTTCAGTGTGTTTTAAGACCTCTTTTATCTTAACTTGTGCTGAGGTAATTTCAGTTGATACTATACAGGAGACTCCAGCTCCTGTATAGCTCTGGGAATACAGGGCACTGTGTTACTCCATCCAGAAGAAATCACAGCTTGAATCCACGTGTGTCTGCTATTAAGAGCACTAGGAGGTGTCAGGTTTGCAGGTCTATCACTCTGCCTCAGTAGTAGGGCTAAGGTTGGAGCCTAAACACGTTATAGAAACAATGTATGGTAGTTCAGATTCATGTGCCTAGTGTCTGCTAGAATCATCTGAGGCACGGAAAGGAAATCAGGTGCACTTCACAGAATTTACTGATAAATCTAACTAACTGAACAAAAAACTTTGCTCTCTTTCAGTTGTATTTGGTATTAAGAGAAAAATAAATTGTTATTCTTCTGGTAAAGTATTAGCAAGCAATGTCCAGGAACCTGATTCACCACCATGAACTGCATGTGCAGTGTTTACAGTTATAGGATGGTTTGGACTGCGTTGGACTCTTCCGGGGACGTGACAGCCACAGCTTCTCTGGTTAACCTATGCCAGTGCCTCACCATCCTCACATGGAAGAATTTCTTCCCAATAGTCAATCTAACCCTGTTCTCTTTCAGTTTAAAGCCATTCCCTTGTCCTGTCACCCTTGTGAAGAGTCCCTCTCCAGCTCCTTTGGAGCACCTTTTGGTACTGGTAGGGCCTCTAAAGTCTCCCTGAAGCCTTCTGTTCTCCAGGCTGAACAGCCCCGAGCACAAATACTTGAAACCAACATTTTTCAGGTTTGGTCACTGAACAGCAAACTGATCAGCAATTTTGGAAGCTTTGTCTTTTAATGGGAAAAAAAGGACTCTAACAGATTAATTTTCTAGGCTCTTGTTTCACAGGAGCTCTGGTAATACCATGTTAACAACCTACAGTCCAGCTTTGACCTAACACGTGATGACAACAAATTTTTGCATACTGCTTTTTTTAATATATGGGGTTTTTTTCATAACCATTAGAAAGGAGCTGATTGCCAGGCTGGAACAAGTGGAAAAAGAAAGCATGGATGCTGCTCAGCTGGCTAAGGAGTACGCAGAACTGACAGAGGAGAACCGAACACTGAAGCTGGCCCAGACGCAGTGCGTGGAGCAACTGGAAAAGCTCAGAATACAGTATCAAAAAAGGCAGGGTTCCTCATAACTCCCAACTGGCTTGTGTGAGGCAGTTCATAAATGGTTGGTCCTGTGCTGGAAAGAGATTTTTAAAATAAGGATCTGTTTAATATGTTATAATACTTTACTACAGATACGGAGTATGTAGAAGTCTATATTTGAGTCAATGCTTGCCAGCCAGTAACTTAATATAATGGATATTTTATCCATTATATAATGGATATTTTATTTCAAGTAACATAATTGAAGTTAATCTATCTCCATTATATGTTCTACTAGATCAGGTTTCTTTTCTAAACATATTTCTTCCAATTTAAGAATATGTGGACACACTAGAAAATGGTATAAATAGTTCCTGGGTTGGAAATTTGGATCATACTAAGGCATACAGCAGGGACAATGTTAGTATATGGAATACATGTATGTTAAATTTAGTTTGGTGAAGATTTTTTTTGAATTATTTTCCTCATGCCTGAAGTGTTTGGAAGTTATCTTAAAACAGATCTCCTCGCTGATAAAACCTGTACTTCATTATCCTGTGTCAACTTTATATTGTTACATAAATTCTGAGAAATTGCACATTAAAAATTGAAGTAATATAATTCTTTTTTTTCACACGAGTGCACTGCCAGTAATAATTAGCAAGTTATGAAAATAAAAGGAAACAGTTAAGATCAAAATTTCCTTCCTCAAGTGTAAAGATTTGAGAGTCTTTTGGCTCTTGTACTTTTTGACATGCAAGAACTGAAAAATTAATGTAAGAATCATAGTTTCAACTGAGAATGTGTCAGTAAAAGTGCTGTGAGGATATTTTGTTCTTATATTCTGGTCTGTTTTGACACATAAGTGGCTGTAAGTAGGGGCAGGATGTACAAATAACCGAGAATATACAAATAATGGGGATATACAAATAACCGGGAAGTAAAATGTCAGTTTTACTTGCTCTATTTATCCCTGTACTTTCCTAGTTCAACTGAAAATTCTTTGTTATACTTCTATTTCTATTCATTATTCATTTTTTTCATTAAAAGTGGATATAGAAAAGTTCTCAATATTCTCAAATCACATTGTATTTTTAACTCTGCTTGACAGATGCAGCTTCTTACATCTTCATGAGGTTGGAATTCAACTCGATGTGCTATTAGTACTGAAATATGTCTTAGCAATTGAAAACTTGCTGCTGTACCCTGTCCAGTGTGGAGACAACGATGGGAAATCACTCCTGAGGTACATGCTTCTTGCTGGGATGCTCCACAGGCAGTGCAACACTGTATTTATTCCTCTTTCCTTGTCATCTGAGGATCAAAATTTCACTATATCTTGTGAAAGTTGAAGAGGAAAAAGAAAAAAAAAACATAATTAATAAAACCCACTTGGAATATCAGGCAGGGAATGCTGGAAAAGCCTTAGTTGAGTTTTGCACTGATGGGAAACAAAACATGAATATACATCAAGGCTTTGCTTTGAGCACAGAACACCACAGAGTCTAGAGTTTACTTTTTTTTTTTCCTGTATTTATGTGTATTAACAAGAGCATTCTCACTTTCAAATTATTTTGTTATTTTAGTAATTTTTCTATCTAGCTTTGAAAACATCATCCAATCTGGTGATTTCAGTGAATTCATCGAAAACTGTACAAAGTACATAAAATTACTCCATCGACAGACTGGTTTTGGATGTAAATGGGTTAGATGGCAGACCTTTACTTACAAATAGCTGCATTCACCTTGAAATTCTCTATTTAAGTCCAGCCATTTTGCTTTAGATATCAGAATAATAACAGACTGTACGCTGGGATTAAAACCTGAGGGAGAGCCACAGTGAGATGGAGAAGGAAAGCTGGGCCCCTTTTGTGACATATCGCACTTTGAGAGTAGCCAAAGAATATATATATATATATAAAATATATATATTTTCCCTGCAGATACTGACCAGTATGGAAGTCTTCAGGAAACATTTTTATAGGTGTACAGGCACCAAATCTGTGGTGTGGTCCAGCTACCAGCCTGGATAAATATGGAAGTCTTAAACCATCCCAAACTAATTGAAGTCAGAGATTTGTATTTAATCTTGATTATGGCTATTTGCAATCAGATTTTCCTCCTACTTTAAGTTATGGTGACAGTGAAAAATAACAGCCTTATATCAGTATATTTGCCTGCCAGCATGGATGCTCAAGTGTCTGAGAGCATTGATTCAGAGAAATTGTATCACAATCCAAATGAGTAAAACTGATATAGAAGTACCAAGGAAGAAAAATTAAAGGATCTCATGAAAACTATTTTTAAAAGAAAAAGTAGTAGGGGAAATGGGATTCAAAGACAGGACAGTAGAAAAATGGAATTTTCTGAAAATATTCATAGGCAAAGTCAACATCAACCAGGTATTGCAAAGTATAAATGTGGCAAGAACAGCCTTCTGAGAGCTACCTGCTGTATCTATCATCCACCTCTTCATTTTCTTATCAAGAAGCATAATAATGAGAAACATTTTTGTATTCAATAAGTCTCCAATTTTGACATGATGAGTCTTTTCTCTAGATACTCTGGAACTCTGTTGAATAAATAGCTGAAATTAAGCTTTTTAATAAAACACTTTTCATACTGATCTTGTATTTTCCAAGTAGACAGTATGATTTGTGTCCTGGTATTTAAGGAGAGACCTTGAAGTGGTCTGCAAGTTAGGTCCATTGGAAGTATCACAGTTATACGATTATTTCAAAGATGGTTTTACACTGTATTTCACCCAAGAACTTTGAACCCTGTTTAAGCTTTTGAGATCAAATGCCAATGAAATGTTCAATTTTATAATTTCTGACTACAGCCTGTGGGAACTGCGGTTGTATTCAGCAAAACAAGGGTGAAGTCTGAGGCTCTTGCTGTCGATTCACCAGTGGTCAGGAGGCAAGGAAAGGCATGTGAAAGGCTCAGAGGCAAAAGAAGCTGCTAAATGCAAACACCTACACAGACACAGCCAGTTATACAAAGTGTATTTGTTGCTATTAGCCAGGTTAGCCAGGTTAGCAACAGCCAGCATGCCACTGTGATGGCAAATGGGTTTGCTTCAAACCAGTGAAGAAAGAGTGAAGTACATGGGTTTAAAATAAAAGCAAGACCTGTGATTTCCATTTCATATCGTTACTAACTAAATTCCTTCCATCCTTATGAGTGCTGAACAAACTCAGTTTGAGTCTTCCAGTTAGCAAGGATATGACTCATTCAGTCTTAAACAACCAGAGGCAAGGGCAATTTGATACTTGAAAAGTCTGGAAGATAAGGACATGCATAACGTTTGGGCTCAGTGGTTTTTGTTTTTTTTTTTAATGTGTCCCTTTTCAGGATTATATTTATTCTGGCTGGTTTTGTGAATTAATGTTCTTTGGAAATGTGTCACCTCCCTCCAGAGGCTTTATTGCCCTCTAGGCCTTTGTGAAAATTACACATTGTTAACAGCGGGTACAAACAGGCAAGGGTGGGACAGAGAGGTGTTCTCAGCGTTCCTTTGGGTTGGTTGGGGAGCTCTGGCTCTGTGTTTTTGCTGTCTCACCTCCATATATCCAGCTCACAGACCACCTTTCAGAAACGAACTAGTCACAGTCTTCGTCATGGAGCCACTTGGTGCTTTTTCCTACATGAAATTCCTTGCTTGCTAAACACACAAAGTAGAAGTGTCCAAAGGAACAGGGGGGACTTGTCTGGAGGAGTCTTACCTCTCTTCTCATGGAGGGTACAAGATGTGCAATGTGGGAAGAAGAGGGCTGCAGGGAAAGGAAGTTTGGTCCAGGCAGTGATGTAGCAGGAGGAGTGCTGGCCCTGTCCAGCAGGATTGTGAGGACAGCTGACAAAACCTGGGTGCTGGGATAACTTTTCCCTCCTATTCGCATTCTTCACAGTCATACAGGGGCACCCATAGCACTGAGGATCTTCTCCTTCCTAATGGAGTGTCGTGGCATGCATATGCATGGATAATACAGTGATGCACATCCTTGGAAAACCCATGATGAAACTATTAATGGTCTTCACGACAGGCCTGGAAGGTGTGCAGCAATGGAGGACTAGGACTATTACTGGACAAGTACCAAAAAGCCTGTTTTCCATCCTACTAGACTTCTCTGGGACAGAACCGGACACTGTGACTGCATGACTGTATCACAGTGCACATTAAGGAGAGAGGGAAGGGAGCAAAGCAAAGCTGGTGGGGCAGTCTCAACCTTACCATTTCCTTCACTGAGTCCCTTGATTCTGCAGTGTTAAACGGGGAGTTATCAAGATGGTCCTTCAGATGTGCACCAAAACTGCATGGCTGACACTTTAAATTCAAAGTAGAGTATAAGAATGAAAAAAATCTACCTTGCTTTGGACATGCCAGTCACCTCTATGTTCTAGTGCTCCTTAGAGGGAATGTTGTGGATTGCTCATACCACATCAATGAAAGATGACAACCATTCACAAATCACTGTCACACTTGACCCAGGCTTCCTACATGGCACAGTCCGGTGGTTTACACTGCAGAAAGCACAAGGTTTGGCAAATGAGTCATTCTGCCTTCCTACACATCAACCATCAGTTCTCCCTTCTAAACCTCAGTTCCTTCAGTCCTCCCTGACCACAAGCCATGCATCTGTACTCCCCACTGAGTAAGCAGCACCAGCCTAGAACTCAGATCCAGTTGACTGGTGATCTCATGACATGGTCTGATGATCACCAGGGGCTTGAGATGGTTTCCAAATGTTACAGTCATATGATGTTTTGCAATTGGGTGCTGGTTTGTGGCAGCAAAGTATTCTACCAGCCTGCAGGTGCCAGCTGTGAGAGATGCTTTGTTTCTTTGAACTGGTTAGAAAATATGAGAGCAGGTGGTCTGTGAATTTAGTTATTTGTCTGAATCTTATACTGAATTTTAATACAGAAATTAGGGAAATGAAATGAGGATGTTTGTGCTGATGTAAAAAATGTGCAGTCAGATGCCAAACTCTGCTCTGGGTACTCAGAATGAGTAAACTGATGAGAACTGTAAGTGATGGAAAGGAAGTAGGTACAGCTAGGAAGAGGAACTGGCTAGTGAGCTGTTGCCTTATCTGCTTGCTTTCTTGCTTTTTATGGCTTGCACCAGTGGGATGTATGGGCTGTTGTCCTTAGCTCAACATTAAGAAGCTTTTGTTTGGATATGCATGAACATTTACTTCATTAAGGTTATGTTTTTTTGACTGTGTCTCGTATCAACAGAGCTGTGACGTGATACAGACACTCACAGTGCTGCAGACAGTTCTTCTACAGAAAGAGGAATAACCAGAATCAGGATATGAGTCTATTCTGCTAATCATAGAATCGTAGCATATTTGGAGTTGGGAGGGTCCCATATGGACCTCTGAGCCCAGTTCTGTGCCAACTGCTGTATTTGCATTAAAGATAAATAAAGCTTTGATAAATAGCCCATGTAGAGTAAAAACTACACTGAAGGCAGAGCACTTCAGTACTGAAGTAACTGCATCCCCACTAAGGGGCTTTTGCTGCTTTCATCACACAAGTGGAGTTTGGAACTTTTATTAACTAGATCCCCAGTTTCCCACATGAAGGGATAGTGATGTGATGTTCTGTCATCAGAAGAACTTTCACCTCTGTCTTGTGACTGTCTTATGAGTGTATGACACATCTCAGAGCACAGCCCAGATTGCCTTGTGGCCACAGACCTTCCCCACAGCCATTTCATCACAGTGCTCTCCTCAGATTGTTCCTTTAACTGTCTCATTACTTTGCTGTCCATGGAGAACTGAAATAAATTAATGACTGAATGTTTTAAGAGTAGTCAGAAGCAAGTTCATCACTTAACAACATTACCTGCTAAGAACCTTGACTGTCTTGTGGTCAGAACCTTTTGTATTCATGTCCTACAAGTATATGAATATATATGTTTACTGATTAGATGTCAGTACAAAAAAATACAAGTCTTAATATTCATGCAA